AAAGCGTAAAAAAAAACTAATTGATCAAACGTCTTGTCTGCTCAAAATTTCCCTCATCACCAGCCCTTCCACAAGGAAAGGTGGGCCACTGAGAACCACTGAGCCGCTTCCCTCTTATACATGTAGGAGACTAAACCTCAGGCTTAGGACTGAGCTCAGGCCCATCCCCAAGTATTTGAAAGTACAGTCCCATCTGCCCCTGGGAGTCACTCCCCAGAACATACATGTCAACCAGGGGCCAGTAAAATGGCTCAACAGATAAAGGTGCTTGCCTAGAAACGTGAGGACCTTAGTTCGATGCTCTGAACCCACATGGTGGAGAGAACTGACACTTGCAAGCTGTCCTCTGACTTCTACACCTGTGTGTGTAACCCGGGCCTATGCCTAGTAAAATTAGTTTTCCGGGGACCCGACCAACCCAAACAAGAACTTCGAAAGGAATGACAAGCAGCCAACCGCCAAAGTCCCCCACACAATGCTTGTTGTAGCCATGGAAACGTCCGTTTTCACTGGTTGACGCTGCTGGCTTCTTGGCGCAGGTCCCTTCTGGGTAATGCAGTACCTACGGGACCAACTCCAGAGAAGTGGACACAGTGCAGGGATGGAGATGGAGAATCAGTCTCCAGGGAGTTCAGCGGACTCAGGAGGAGACTGTCCTGATTGAAGATGCGCAAGTATTTCCCACTTGTGAATGGTTCTATTTTCAGAAATAGTGTGTGAGCGGGGGTGGGGGGGAACGCGGGACGGGTAGGGGGCTGGAGAGATGGCTCAGTGGTTAAGGGCACTGGCTACTCTTGCAGAGGACCCAGCTTCTATTCCCACCACCCACATGTTAGCTAACAACCGTCTGTAACTCCACTTCCAGGGGGATTACACCATCTTCTAACTTCTGTAGGCTTTTCACAACATGGGTACACTTAGACATATGAAGACAAGTAAACGATGGACAATACACTCATAAACATAAAAAATAATGCTTTTTTTTAAAAATTGAAATGGGGGGGACATGGTGGCACGCTCTTTAATCCAAGATCTGCAGGGGCAGAGGTAGGTTAACCTCTCTGATTTCCAGGCCAACTTGGGCTACACAGTGATACCTTGTGTTAAAAAAACAAAAGAAAAAAAACGGGGGAATGCTGGGGGATGTTGGCTTATTGATCTGAGGCCTTTGCCTGCTGAACAGGCACCAGCTGGATACTTGAACAGAGAAAAGGCAAAAATTAGACCAGGTTAGCCTCCATCTCACAGAGCTCTGCCTGCCTCTGCCTCCCGAGTGGTGGGATTAAAGATTTGCACCACGGTGGCCGGCCCCACCGTTGACTTTTACATTGATCATCTTTATGCAAGAGAAATTTGGGGCTTTATACATGATTCCACCCAGTAAACCTCTTCAGCGGGGTCCTGAAGACACTCAGGAAAGCCTGGGGTAGCAGCTACTCAAGGAAATGGAAATACTAGCGCATCTATAATCAGGATCGTCTCTGCAGGAATATGAAGTCCATGGGTACCGCTCCTCCAACGCCCATTTTAGCAGTACTTCTCGCAAGTCTAATACCATAGGAACTCTGTTATCCAGAAGGAAGTGCTTGAAGACTCAGCCAATGAAAAGGGGCGTTTCCATGGCTACCAAAAAAAAAGCGTTGGGTGGGACTTGGGTCAACGCCTGCAGTGATTCTTCTTTGTAGGTCAGGTCCATGGAGCTTCATACCTCTCTGGCCAGGGCACGAAGGCGGAACGGAGGGAGGCTTTGTCCTCGGGCACTGAGCTGGGTCTGAAGTCTAGAGCCCCTAGTGACCCGCTGCAGGTCTGGGGTGGGGACAGCCGCGGCCTTGAGCCCAGTCTGATGACAGCAACTGTCATGAGTGCCTCGGATTTCGGGCCCACCCAAGTCCCTTAGAGCAGTGAGAGCTGACCTAGAGCCCGCCACACAGGGCCCCACAGGGAGACATTCGGGGACGAAATTTTTTTTTGCTGGCCTGTAACTCACTATGTAGACCAGGCTGGCCTCGAACTCGGAGATCCCCCTGCCTCTGCATCCCGAGTGCTGCGATTAAAGGCACGCCGGGCTGAAATTCTTTTTGCCCTGTGTGTGCTCTGGTTCGATGCCATCTGAACTTCAGGGTCTGCTGGGCTGTGACCTCCAAAGGCTTGGGGAGAGGGAAACGGCTCAATGCTCCCAAGCAAGCTAAGCTTTATTTACAAAGGCTCTGGTGGAAGATTGGAACCTAGGCCCATTTCTCAGTTTCCAAGCCTCCAGGCATATAATCTGCCAAGAGTGGGCACTCATGGGGATAGAAACAAGACCTGAGTCTCCTTAAATCCAGTATGCTAAGCCAGAAGGCTGGAGGGTGTGGAGCTTAGACAAGGCTGGAAAGAAGTGTTCAGATCTCAGATGGACTTTACAGTTGAGCAGACAGGACATCCTGAGCTACATACATATAGGCATGAATGAGCTTGGAAGGGGCCCTTCAAGTGTTTTTGTTTGTTCTGACCATGTGAAAGGATAGAGGTAGGGAAGGTTATGCAGGGAGCAAGTTTCAGGGAGATAAGATGGGCTTTGGCTGTGGTGATTCTGAGAGTCTGAAAATGATTCACCGAGGCAGCTTGCACACTCACATCTGGACTTCTGGGAAAGGATCTCACCTTTAGACAACTGAAGGGCTGTCAACAGAGGCCTGAACAAAGCCTGGGCTTGTTCTTAGGAAACAGAATCTTAAGATTTGTTTTGTTTTGTATTGTTGTTTAAAGACTAATTCATGTCTTTTATTTACAATTTGTGTATTCATTTTATGTGCATGAGTCTTCTGCCTCCATGTATGTAAGTGCCCCTGTGTCGAAGAGTGCCCAAGGAGGCCAGAAGATGGCCTTGGATCCCCTGCCTGGAACTTAAAGATGGTTGTTAGCTACCATGTTGAGAACTGAACCCCAGTCCTCTACAAGAGCATTCACTGAGCAACTTCTCTATTCCACCCCCCACTTTTTTGGGGTCTTTTTGAGACAGGGTCTTCCTATAGCCCCAACTAGCCTGGAAATCACTATGTAGACCAGGCTGGCCTTGAACTAGCAGAGATCTGCCAGCCCCTGCCTCCCGAGTGCTGGGATTAAAGGCATATGCCACCACTCCCAGCAATGTGCCAATTAAAAAAAAAAATTTTTATTTTATGTGTCCGAGTGGATTTCTTGCAGGTGCATAAGTGCACCCTTACCATGTAATACCCGTGGAGGTCAGAAAAGGGTGTCTGATATCCCCTGGACTGGAGTTACAGACAGTTGTTAGCTGCCATGTGGGTGCTGGGAATGAAACCTGAATCTGCCAAGAGCAGCCAGTGCTCTTAACTGCTGAGACATCGTTCCAGACCTCCTTTTTTTTACTTTTTTGTTGTTTTTGTTATAGTTTGGTTTTGTTTTTTTGTTGTTGTTGTTGGGATAGAGTGTTCCTGTAGCCCAGCTGGCCGAGAACTTGCTTTGTAAACGAGGCTAGCGTCCAACTCCCTGAGATCCACCTGCCTCTGTCTCCCTATCACCAAAATCAAAGGAGGATGTCACCACAGTCCAAAAGGTTTTTTTTTTTTTTTTTTTTTTTTTTTTTTTTTTTTTCTGATGCAGGTGGACTCTTAAATGAACAAGGAAGGACAGATGGACCTAAAGGATATGGCTACTGGCTACTGTCTGCAGGGTTAGCAGTTTAGAGTGGAAGGATTCTGGATGGAGATCTGGGTGACGGGCTTACAGATTGGACTCAGCAGCAGGCCTTCCTGTGGAGAAAAGAAAGGTCAGCCTGCTTCACCTCATTTCCTCACGAGAGAGGATGATCACCCGCCTCTACAGAGGACCCTCTAACAAATTTCCTCTTATGGGGTGTATACTATGCAACTGTCTGAAACCCAGAAGCTGCCTCCTGAGGTCCAGGCTCTGTGTTCATTAAGTTTTAATTTTACCTAATAGGTACATGTCTCTTTAGTAGTCAACATTTATACATAACCAGAGGCAATTAATATGTGTGAATAAGGGCTGGAGAGATGGCTCAGCAGTTATGAGCATTGGCTCCATTTCCAGGGCAGCCATCGCCCTCTTATGTCATCCTTGGGCATTGCACACACAGATACACCTACATGCAAGCATGAAAAGATTTTAATTAATGAAAAAATTTTAAGCCAGGAGTGGTGGAGCATGTCTTTAATCCCAGCACTCAGGAGGCAGAGGCAGGCAGATCTCTGTGAGTTCAAGGCCAGCCTGGTCTACATAGGGAGTTCCAGGGCAGCTGGGGCTAAAGGGGGACACTGTCTCAAAAAGACAAAAAAAAAAAAAAAAAAAAATTTAAGATGCAATTTTTGTTCTAGCAAATTGAGCCTATTTTTGATTTTATAGCTTTCTTTAATCTTAAAAGCAGAGAAAATCAAAGTATTTTATTATTTTTCCTTTTTCTAAACAGCCTCTGTAATTATCTTGAAATTCAGTAATGTTTATTTATTTATGAGCCAATTTTTTTTTTTTTTACCAGGGTCTCAGCATGGAGCCTTGGCTAACCTAGAACTCATAGAGATCCACCTGTTTGCCTCTCGAGTTCTGGGATTAAAGTTGTGCACCACCACACCTGGCTCATGAACCTTTTAATGTATCTTTTTAAAAATTAATTTAGTTTTATGTGTGTAAAGCCTGCATCTATGTAGTACACGTATGTTGTGCAATGCCCACAGAGGCCAGAAAATGGAGTCGGATCCCTTAGAACTGGAGTCATACATGGTTGTCAACCTCCATGTGGGTGCTGGGATTTGAACCCAGGTCTTCTGCAAGAGCAGCCAGTGCTCTTAACTCCTGAGCCATCTCTCCAGGCTGCATTTGATGTATCTTAATACCAGCCTTTACACCCTCACTTGCATTTCTTTGAAAAACGTTTCACAAACTTCACAAATATTTCTGTCAGGCACTTTTAAAAAATATTTTTTTTTATTATTTTATGTGTATGAGTGTATTGCCTGTAGACTTTTAAAAAATCTGTGATACACCTTTCCTTCACACTAACCTGATTCTCACAAGCATTACAATCGATATTCACGTGAGAAGTTGGTGGAGAACCAAGTGTTTGGCATTGATTTCTTCACTATTTGTCCTTCACTAGTGTGCTGTTTAGTCTGCATACTGTGTCTGTCATTTCCTTTACTGCTCATCTCTAGCTCCATCCTGTTGCTGTCAGGTAGAACACTGGGACATTTACCAATTTTTCTATTTTGGAGGACTTGATTTCCGTGTCAATATGGTGTCTACTGTAGAGAATCTTCGATGAGCTGCAGAGTAGCGTGGGGAGGGCATATTATTTTTTTTTTACCCGCTTGGGCTTTTTGAGACAGGGTCTCCCTGTAGCCCCAGCTATCTTGGAACTATGTAGACCAGGATGGCCTTGAACTCACAGAGATCCGCCTGCCTCTGCCTCCTAAATGTTAAGATTAAGGGAATGTACCAACATGCTCAGGTCAGACCCTGTTTTTCAAAAGAAAGAAAAAAATGGCTGAAGAGATGGTTCAGCCATTGAGAGCACTGGCTGCTCTTGCCGAGGATCAGGTTCAATTCCCATAACTGACAAGGCAGCTAACAACTATCTGTAAGTCCAGTTCTAAGGTATCCAGGGCTCCCTTCATATCTCCTCAGGTATTGCATGACACAGGTGCACTTACATACATCAGGGCGTAACACTCATACACATAAAATAATAAATATTTTAAAAACAGAAACACTACTGATGATAGAGGAAGACCCTGTCTCAAAAACACCAAAAGAACACAAAAAAACACTAATACATAAAAAATAAAATTAAAACAATTATACCTACTAGAAAACCTCTGGGAACTGACAGCAAAAATCCTGCTGTTCCAACATGGCAAACTGATGAGAAGTCTCAGTTGCTGGCTGTCTCACAAAGGCTACTCTCAAAACTTCTGTTTTAGGTCAGGTCTACTCCAAAGGCTGAACAAAGCTGGTCAGTGGCTGAAGCTTTTCTACATTCCCTGCATTCATAAACATATCTGGGTTGTTACTGTTGCTAGTGAGAGCAGACCTTTGCTCAAAGGCTTTCCCATGATCAATCAGTGCCTGTGTGACTCATTCCAGCACTGGGATGTCTCTGGGGCTAAAGATGGAAGAACGGGCAGAGGATCTCCAAACTGAAGCACTGAAGCATTTTGTGCAGTGGACACTCTGCTGGGGAATTACATTAGACAACTACGGTATTGTCCGTGTTCACTGCACTCACAATGCATCCATCACCTGGGAATCTTCCAGTGTCTATAAAGGCCAGAAGTGCTAGGAAAACCATTCCCGCATTCCCTGAGCTCAAAAGACTTTGCTGCAGTGTGAACTCTCTGATGTTAAATGAGGCTGGATGTTCAGGAAAGACTCCCACACTCATTGCTGTCCTCTGCTATGAACATTGTTTGTGTGTTTTGTAAGGGAAGAGTTTTTGGTAAAAGATTTCCCACATTCACTGCACTCATAAGGCTTTTCCCCAGTATGAATTCGCCTATGACTTCGAAGGCCACAGTTTTCCCTAAATGCTTTTCCACACTCACTGCACTCATAAGGTTTTTCTCCAGTATGAATTCGCCAGTGACTTATAAGGCTGTATTTCTGCCTAAATACTTTCCCACACTCACTGCACTCATAAGGTTTTTCTCCAGTATGAATTCGCCAATGACTTATAAGGCTGGGTTTTGTCATATAAACTTTCCCACATTCACTGCACTTATAGGGAGTTTCCCCAGTGTGAACTTGGAAATAATGACTTTTAAGGGTGGGTCTGTACCTAAATGATTCCTCACATTCAGGGCACTTAAAAGGCTTCTCACCAGTGTGAACAACTAAGTGTTCCTTGAGATGAGAATTTCGGAAAAATGATTTCCCACATTTTTCACATTTATAACGCCTTTCTCCAGTGTGGATTCTGCGATGGTGAATGAGTATAGAGTGATACTTGAAACCCTGTCCACATGCAGTGCATCTAAAAGGATTTTTTTCAGTGTGGACTTTGCAGTGTTGAATGAGGTCACTATTGCAACTAAAAGATTTCCGACATTCGGTACACATGTAAGGCTTGTGAATTGTTTGGTGCGCCAGAAAGTTAGATTTATGTTTAAATCGTCTTCCACATTCACTGCATTCATAAGACTTTTCTCCCGGGTGTAGTGTCTGGTGCTGAGTAAGTACAGAATTCTGACTAAAGGTTTTCCCACCGTCACTGCATTGGTAGTTGCTGTTCCCACTGGGACAGGCCTCTCCACTGTTAGAGTTCCTGGATGACTTCCCGACCCCACGAGTCAGCTCATGCCTAAGACCTGGGCTGGGATGCACGTCCATCCCATTGTTCCTGCTTCGTAAATTCTTCAACTGGCGTTTTGTGCCATTCTTCTTTACAGAGATCCTGGCCTCTTCTATTTGTAAGGGCTTCTCACCACGTCTCAGCTTTTGGTGCTGGGGAATGGCTGCACCGAGTCCTTCATCTGTAGAAATACTCTGCACAGCAGGTGCATTTTCAGCCTCCACTCCATTCCAACAACCTGAGTAAGAGAAATGCTGATGAAGGGAATGGAGACTTTGGTGTGGAAGCACATGCTAGAGACGAGGATGGGAGATTTGTCAGGATGAAGGGGTCAGGTGAGAGCAGGAAGGACACACTGCAGTGCTGCATCTACCAAGACCACAGACCAGAGGTCTCATGAGGAGTGGCATAGCCCTGGTTCAGAAATACTACAGATCCTCCTCGTACCTGTCCACATAGCTGGAGTCATGATTCCCAGTGCCTGGATGAAGGGCTCTCCCCACAGCTCCAGATGACTGATTTCTTGGGTTCCAGAAGGTACAAGTCCTATGAGAAAGGTAGGACAGGTGAACAACCTACACTAGAAAAACAGAGACCCAACCATGACAGTCCTTAGAAGAGAAAACCAATGGAAAGCTCCTCAAAGGAGTGTGACCGAGAAAAACCATGAAATAGTGACCACATCAGTGGCACCATTCTACCGCAGGCAGAAGAAATGCATGTCAATGGGGGGGAAAGGCCAGTGCCTGGGAAGTGCCGTGTGTTTCTAGTGTCACCAGACTACGGAAAGGGCAGCAAGCTCAGCTCTATGACGGTGATTAAAACATTCCTTGCCCCAGGCTGCTTCCCACCTGCCTTTGCTGTACTTGAGAGGGAACGTGGTGGGTGCCCGACCAGGAATACCACCTTTATTTTCTATTCCAGGACACTAAGGAAAGAATCAGTGACCATGGGCTGGATGTGGGAAGGGCACACCCACCTCTAGGAAAAGAGAAGCCAAGCCTACCCCCATGTTCTCCCACACAGTAGGCGGCCCTTACCCACAGAGGCCATGAGCGAGAAGTTCTCCAGCATCACACTGCGGTACAGCAGTCTCTGAGAGGCATCCAGCAGTGTCCATTCCGCCTTTGAGAAGCAGACAGCCACGTCCTTAAAGGTCACACAGCCCTGTCACAATGGGGAGAGCTGAGGTCCTAAGAAACCCCTTCCCTGGGTCTCCTGCTACCACAGTCACTCACGCTTAGCTTTCTCCCTCCAAGGCCCTGGAGCCACTGCAACAGTGTCTCCTCAAGGTCCCCCTGACCGCTGTGTTCAGCACTCAACAACAGAAGGCCCATGGACAGATGGGAGACCATCTAAGCTGGACATCTGACTGGAAAGCCCCTCCCTGTCCTTACAGATAATTCACATGCAGTCAGACCTCTGACACAACCACAAGAGGGTTCCTCTACTCTTATGCACCTGGACCATGGCACGGGACGCCATCTCTGCACGCTCCCTTCCCACAGCACTCTTTGTACTGCGGATCCCTTTCCATCTCTGTAAACACCCAGCTCCTCCAGCTGGTGTTCTAGCCCTATGTCCTGTCTTCCTCTCTTTCCACCAGACAAAACGCACACCTGAGGTTTTCTGAGCATTCCGATCCAGCTTCACTTCCAGAATTTCCTAATGTTCATCACTGGAAATTTTTTTTTTTTTTTGGATATAGGGTCTCCCACTAGCCGCATCCAACCCTAGAACTTGCTTTGTAGACCAGGCTTTCTTCAGTCTTACAGAGATCCAAATGCTTCTGCCACCCAAGTGCTGGGATTAAAGGCGTGTGCCACCACACCTGCCATTGGTTGCCATAGAATCCCCGCTATGTACTCAGGTAGGGGTTGAGACCTTAGCAAACCTGAGAGTACCAAGATCCAGCCTCACCGTCATAGTGATCATCCCCAAATAGCCCCATGCCCAGGCCCCTACTAATGGGGACAATGCAAAGCATTGTCTAGCAGTGTCTAGATCTGACCTCCCTGTGGTGTTAAGCTCCCGGAAATTGCTGGATGCCCAACCTGCATTGGGACCAGGTGAAGCCCCAGGTCTAGACCTCTGTGCCCTTAGCAGACTGTCTGAGAGGGCCCAGATCAGGTCTCCTGTGGTGGTGAAGTCTCCAAAATCACACAATGTCCAGCCTCCTGTACTGGGACCAAGTGAACCCACCCACTTTACAATGTCCTAGAACTCTCTGCCCACTGTACGGGCCCAGACCACAGCAAACTACCTGAGACTGCCTGGATCCAGCCTCTGTGTGGTGCTGAGCTTCCCTAATCCTGCCATGCCCAACCCCCTAATTGGGACCATGTGAGACGCCATTTCGCTTCGCCAGGGCTAGAACTCTCTGCCCTACAGTAGGGGATGAGACCTTAACAGATTGCTTGGGGGGCCAAAATCGGGCCTCCCCTTAGCAAAATTCACAAATTATTCTTTGAGTGTCTGATAGTAGGCATCCAGAGGTCAGAGTGAGCCTGAATGTATCTTACTGGAGTCTGAATTGGGCCTCTGTGGGAGCTCCTGAGTAGCTGATATGAAGTAATCAGTTCCTTCCAATATAAAATCTGAGAGAACTGAAACCTAGACCAACCACCTTTACATACCCAATAAGAACACAGCCAAGGCTCACCAATGATACAAACAGAAGCAGGCTTCAACAAAGGAAAGCATGTGTTTCATATATGAATCAGAAACAGAAAAAGAAATCCACATGCCAAAAAGGCAATGGAAAAACAGTAATGTGAAAAACCAAAACCACATGTTCCCACCAGTCCTATAGAAGAGTTCTACAAGGAGAACCCCCTAGAGGTAACCCAGGACACAGAATTTAAAAGGACAATCATAAACAATTCCAAGCATTCTATCAGACCACAATGCAATAAGCTTACAATCAACACAAGAAGTCCTACGAACTACACAACCTCATGGAGACTGAACAACACACTCCGGAATGATGAGTGGGTCAAAGGAGAAATTAGAAGGCAATAAAAGTATTCTTGGAATTCAAAGGAAAGGACAATACAACACAACAAAACCTCTGGGACACTTTAAGAGCAGTCATAGAGGGAAGGAGGCCTACATTAAAAAATCAGAAAGAGCACAAATAAATGACTTAACATTCCAACACAAGTCTCTGGAAAGGCAAGGACAAATGAAACCCAAACCCGGCAGAGGAGAAGAAATAGCAAAAATCAGAGAAAAAATTAATGAAATAGAAAGAAAACAATACAGAGATTCAACGAATCTAAGAGCTGGTTCTTCGAAAAGCTAAACAAGATAGACAGACTCTTAGCCCAGTTAACCAAAAGAAAGAAAGAGCAAATCCAAATCAACAAAATCAGAGAAGAAAGGGAAATCATCACAAAAGAAACCCAAGAGATCCAGAGCATTATAAGGGGATACTTTAAAAACCTATATTCTATTAAAAGAAATGGATGGATATCTAAAATCATGGGAACCACCAAAGCTAAACCAAGAAAAGATCAACACTTTAAACAGGCCCATAATATGATAAGGAAATGGAAACAGTAATACAAATCTGCAGACTAAAAAAAGCCAGGGCCCAGATGGATTTACAGCAGAATTCTACCAGACATTTAAAGAAGATTTGCAGGGCTGAAGAGATGGCTCAGAGGTTAAGAACACTGGTTGTTCTTGCAGAAGACCTGGGTTCAAATCCCAGAAGCCACATGGCAGCTAACAACTGTCTGTAACTTCAATTCCAGGGGCTCTGACAGCCTCTTTTTGTCCTCAGCAGGCACTGCAAGACACGGGTGCACTTACCTACATGCAGGCAATACACACACATAAAAATATAAAAAATAAATATTTAAAAAAGATTTGCAATCAATACTAGTTAAACATTCAAAAAGATAGAGAACTCCTAAATTCCTTCTGTGATACTCTAATACCAAAACCAGCTAAAGACACAACCAACAAAGTAAACTATAGACCAATATCCTAATGCACTTGGATGCAAAAATTCTCAACAAAATACATGCAAATACCATAAAAACACACATCAAAAAGATCATCCACCATGATCAAGTGGTTTTATTCCAGAGATGCCGGGATGGTTCAACATATGCAAGTCAATAAACATCATGAATCATATAAATGGACTCAAAGACAAAATCACATGGTCATCTCAATAGATGCAGAAAAGGCCATTGACAAAATTCAGGATGGATTCATGATAAAAGCACTAAAGGGAATTGGACAGGAGGGAACATACCTCAACATAATTAAAGCTATATACAACAAACCCACAGCCAACATTGTTCTAAATGGGAGAAAAACTGGAAGCATTCCCATTAAAATCAGGAACCAGACAAGGATATCCACTATCTCCACTCCTTTTCAACATAGTGCTTGAAACTCTTGCTAGAGCAATAAGACAGGAGAATGAAATTAAAGGAGTACTAATTGGAAGAGGTCAAATTATCACTTTTTGCAGACGATACAATACTATACATAAGAGATCCCCAAAGTTCCACCAGAAAACTTCTAGAACTGATCAACACTTTCAGTATAGTGGCAGGTTATGAAATCAAGCTACAAAAATCAGTAGCCTTTATATATACAAATAACAAGCAATTGGAGGAGTAGAGGCAAATGTTCCCATTCACAACTGCCGGGAAAAAAAAAAAAAAAAGAAAAAAAAGTATCTTGGAATAAATCTGACCAAAGACACCAAAGATCTCTACAATGAAAATTTTAAATTGTTAAAGAGATTGAGAAAGACACCAGGAGATGGAAGGACCTCCCATACTCATGGATTGGAAGAAATAATATTCTGAAAATGACCATCCTATCAAAAAGCAATATATAGATTCAATGCAATCCCAATCAAAATCCCCATGACTTTAATACTTCACAAAATTAGAAGAAACCATCCTTAAATTCATATGGATGCACAAAAGACCCTGGATAGCCAAAGCAACCCTGAGCACAAAGAGCAACGCTGTGGGGATTACTATGCCAAACTAACTACAGAGCTATACTCAAAAAAACAACATGGTACTGGCATAAAAATAGACACAGCGATCAATTGAACATAAGTGAAGACCCAAACCTGAGTACACGCAATTTCAGTCACCTGCTATTTGACAAAGGTGCCAAGAAACAATAGAGGAAGGACAGCATCTTCAACAAAAGATGCTGGCAAAATTTCATCTCCATCTACAGAAGAACGAAACTAGAGTCTTATGTTTTACCTTGCACAAAACTCAACTCCAAATGCATTAAAGACTTCAATGTGAAACAGGAAACTCTGAAACTGATAGAAGAAAACATTGGTAGTACCCTACAAGATATAGGTGTAGGAAAGGACTTCCTAAATCAGACAGGATGTGCAGGAATTAAGGTGAACAGTCAAGTCAACACATGGAACATCATTAAAGTAAAAAGCTTCTAAACAGCAAAAGAAACAAAGTGAAGAGAAAACCCAGAGTGGGAAAAACCTTCACCAGTGACACAGCTGACAGAGGTTTGACATCCTGAATATATAAAGAACTCAGAAAACAATCAAGAAAACACATGACCCAATGAAAAGATGGGCTAAAGATCTAAACAGAGAGTTCTCTAAGGAAGAAATAAAGATGCTAAGAAACATCTTAAAACGTGTTCAACATTGTTAGTAATTAGGGAAATGCAAATTAAAGCCACCTTAAGATTTTATTTAACCCCAGTCAGACTGGCTAAGATCAAGAGAACAAATGATTCCAAATGCTGTCGAGGATGTGGAGAAAGGGGAACATTCACTGCTGATGGGATTGCAAACTTATGTAATCCCTATGGAAAGCAGAGTGGAGAACTCTTAAACTAAACATGAATGTACCATATGACCCAGTTATACCACTCCTTGGCATATACCCAAAGGACTCATCCTATTGAAGAGACACTTGTAAAACTATCATAGTTGCTACTCTTTTGACAATAGCTGAGAGATGGAAGCAACCTAAGTGCTCCTCACATGACCAATAATTACCAAAATGTGGTACATTTACACAATGGAGTTCAGCTCTGTAGTAAAGAAAGATGAGATAATGAAATCTGAAGGTAAATGGACAGATCTAGAAAATGTTATACTAAGTGAAGTAACAGACTCAGAAAAACAAATGACGTACATTTTC